GGTAAAAGGGAGAAGTAGAAGGAAAATGGGACTTCCTTTTTTGTTCGTGGACAATGTTGAGTTTAGAAGTTCATTTGTATGGATACCGAACTTAGTTCATAGAGCTCTATCTATTCGTTTTGAGATTGCGAAGTTGATGTCGTTGTTCCCTCAATGTGTCACAGTTTCCGGCCCAGCAGACACAGTTGTTGCCAATTGAACCACGTCCATCTTTGTGAACGTCCATTCCAAGATCTCTTTTGCTCGACTTGCTGCTGACAATAGCCGACATAGCTCTGCTGCCTGTCCTTTGCTGGTTCTTCTTCTCTTCTTCTTCTCCTTCTTCTTCTTCTTCTTCTAATTCTTCTTCTTCTTCTTCTTCTTCTTCTTCTTCTTCTTCTTCTTTCGCCCTGCTTGGTGCACATTTGTCGATGTGTGCATTGCTGAACTCCTATGTATGTTTGCTCCTGTCTTTAGGTGATGTTGGAAATGGGTGAGGTGTCCTTTGCTCAGTAGAGCCTTGCTTGGTGCAGTTGATATGTGCACGGCTGGAGTCCTCTGTATGTCTGCTCTTGTTATTAGGTGACGGTGTAAATAGGCGAGGTGTCCGTTGCTCAAAAGAGCTGCGCGACCGTGTGTGTGTGTTGTCTTTTTTACTTTTCTTTTCTTTTTTTTTAAGGTTCTTTGTGCAAGGCTTCTATCCCTGTGTGGGTAGAAGAACTACCGGGATTGACGCTTTGTCAGCGGGCCACTCCATCTATTGGTGGGGAGCATCACCTGCTGGAAACTGGGTCCAGCTTCCCTTGTGTTGTCATTAGGGTCTGAAGTAATATCTGTTTGCCAAATGGGTTCAGTTGTGTTTTGCGTTTTGACGCTTTTGGATTTACCTTGTTTAAATTCCTGTTATGATTATTGCACATCTTGAAGTGCAACAACTCGTGAGGTCCACCATAGCCAAGACCCACACCTTCTTCTGCCTCCTCCAAGTCGATGGTTATGGTGGATTAGTGGAGCCCTGCTCCGCTGTTCAAAGTGCAACACAAAGCTTATGCGTTTTTCTTTACTATGGCCACCATGACTAAAACTCCCCTGAAGTCTTCCTTGATGAAGCGCAAGGGAAACCAGCAAGCACGCACGCACACACACACACACACACACACACACACACACACACACACACACACACACACACACACACACACACACACACACACACACACAC